TTCACAGACAGTGGGGTGTGCTGTGGGTGTTCACAGACAGTGGTGGGTGGGTCCCAGCTGTCTCACAGGCTCTCTTTGCCCCCGCAGTTCGCAGTGTTGATGTGGGTGTTCACCTATGTCGGTGCCTTGTTCAATGGTCTGACACTGCTGATCCTGGGTAAGTGCTGCCAGCTCTGCTCAGCTCCTGCACTGGGGGAACTGGGAAGCTCTGGGCCACACTGGGAGGCCATTCCTGTGGCCTCAGAATGTTACCTTGGGGGTCTTTTCTTTTCCCAGGGCTTTGGTAATGCTGCACACCAGGCCCTTTCGAGGCTGATTTTCCAGCCCTTGTATTTCCAGGCCTGTTTGCTGTGCTCGTCCCTGGCAGAGTGAGCTGCCCTGGGTGTCCTGGCCGTGCTGGGTCTCTGGGTGGGTACAGGATCTGTCCCACTGCAGTTTTGTTCCTTGGATTCAGGTGTCAGAACCAAGTGATGCCTGAGCAACCTTTGGGAAGGATTTGCATAACCCCCAGTGAAAAAGTGACCTGTGACCAGACTTCCTGTTCAATGAGCCCTGGAGAACAGCCCAGGCTCTCCTTAATGGGGATTATTTCATTAACTGGCCAACAATTTCTGTCTGGGGCTTAGTTATTTCTTGTACTTTTTGGCCAGACATGTCAAGGGGTGGGAACCAGTCTTTGTTTTGCCTGAACACCATTCCAGTTGTCAATACTTACACCTTTGATGTGCTCTTTTCCAGCTTTGATTTCGCTCTTCAGTGTTCCTGTTATTTATGAGAGACATCAGGTGAGTGTTTAATAGAATTCATTAAATGCCTCATAAAATCAGCTTTTTAAAAGCAAAACCAGAAACAAAACTAAAATTAATTTCGGTTTTTAAAATCTTTAAAGCCTTTAGAAATAGGCCTTTAACCAGGAACCAGAGCCAAGAAAATCAAGTTCCTTTTGAAGTCCAGACCGTGTGTGCTTCCCTCCTCCTTTTTGGTGGAAGTGGAAGAGGTTTTCCCAGCAAACAGTTGTGGGAAAGGCCTGATGAGCCTGGAGGCCTCCTGTGCTGGTCAGCTTTGGTCAGGACTAGAGCAGCACTAGGCAAGGTGTGCAAACCCTGCTGGAAGCACCTCCGTGTTCTGACATTCGGGATTGGTTTCCCGAAGCCCCGTGGAATTTGTAGCCCTGGCAAAAACAGGGGGTGGGAGCTGCTTGGCCCAGTGCAGTGCTGCTCCTGGGGAGAGACAACTATGTAAAAGGAGGAGGGAAGAAGGAGCCAACCCCAAATGCCTGTGATTAAATGATAGCCAGGAGTGTCTTGGGCAGCTCAGGGCACAGGAGGGGGAGCCAGCTCTGGCTTAGCCGTTCTTCTCGCCTTTCACAAACAAGGGCCCCGGGACCCAGACTGGCACTGGGAGAAGGGAGCCCAGGCTGGCACTGACTGGGAGAAGGGAGCCCAGGCTGGCACTGACTGGGAGAAGGAGCCCAGGCTGGCACTGACTGGGAGAAGGGAGCCCCAGGGCAGAGGGGGGAGCCCCACGGGGTCCTCCCAGCTCCTCCTACGCAGGGAGAGGCAGGCCTGGAGCCCCAGGGTGGGAGGGATGGCCGTGGGGGGCTTAGCCCAGCTCCTCAATCCTCTCAAGCTGGTTAGCAGGCCCAGCTAAGCAGC